ATTTGTTTTGAAGAAGGATACGGGGAGTCTTTACAAGTTTTTTTTAACCAACGCCCATTTCTCGTGGTCTTTCAAACACTCCCAAGTTTTTTCATGAGGTAAAGCTTTCTGATTACTAGTCCTCTGATACTCGCTTTGTGTATCTTTTAAAACATCAGCCGTAGATCTCCCGCATATCATACCGTTCATCCTACGGTTGTAGATGCAGTCGAAATCGTTACACTTTTTTTTGAAGGTTTTTCCATTTTGAGTTTACTTGGTGCCGTGGCCGATCCGAACCTCCCAATCGAACATTAAAATGCTCTAGAATCCGCTCCTAAAATGCATCCGACCTTTGTTGATTTCCACATTTTTTATCTTAAGAAACATCGTCATATGCCCTAACCAAATCCAACTCTTCACATTCCACGCATTTATTTGACTTCTGGCGCTTTGTATAGTTGCATTTTTTCTCAGCAATAGGTTGCAACTCCTCGTTGTCTTGTTCGTCGTCTTCGTCGTTTCTTTCGCTAATCAGTTCGTCACTAGAGCTGTCAGATTCTACGTTCTGAGCATCATGGAACTGGAGAGTCTCGAGATGAGAAGGTCGGAATTGGGTTTCCGTAAATCTTTGAGAAAACTACATAAATGGATTATAACCTGGATTTTCCTCTGAAAACATAAATGCGTTGTAGGATTGTTCCACCGGGAAATAATGGTGTGGATAGTTTTGGTATTATTGATAGTTTGGGTTTTGAAATCCTGGAGAAGAAAATGGAATATGTTGACTTGAACCTCCTTGCGTGGACTTACATCTTTGGCTAGAACCGACTTGTTTAGCTTTGCATCAGGAATCCATTAAAGGTAACTGAAGCGAAAAGTTTTTTTTAGATAAATGTATATAGAATTGAGTGAAGTGGGATAACTTGATAAATATATAAAAAAAATTATATAAAAAATAAACAATAAAATAAAAAGGCAGCTGTGATCTTCACAGGTTGCATGAAAACAAAAAAGGCAGGTGAGTAAATTCTCTTACTCGAATTGTCACATGCATGCATTGAACACAAAGTCAATGGTGGGTTAGGGCGGTACCGATGGTACCACCAGGTTGTGATTTCGTGAACGAAGGGTCTAGCGAGCTCGAGAAGTTATTCGCATGCAACGGGTTGTTAGACACATGAAGCATGTAACAGTTCGAGTAAGAGAATTTATTCGCCTGCTTTTTGTTTTCATGTAGCCCGTGAAGACCAAAGCTGCCTTTTTATTTTATTTTATTTATTCTTAATATAATTTTGTATATATTTATAAAGATATCCCACTTCACTCAATTCTGTATAAGTTTCTCTAAAAAAAACTTTCCGCTTCAGTTATCTTAAATGGATTCCCGAGGCAAACCTAAACAAGTCGGTTCTAGTCAAAGACGTAAATCCATGCAAGGCGGTTCATGTCAAGATATTACATTTCATTCTCTAAGATTTCAAACCCCAAACTATCAAAAATACATAAACGACCAACAAAACCAAAACTATCCACAACATTATTTCCCGGTGCAACAATCTTACAACGCATTTACTCTTTCAGAGGAAATTTGGGTTATAATCCATTTATGCAGTTTTCCTAAATGGTTCCAGAAACCCAATTTCAATCTAATAGTTCTAGTGATGACTCGGTTACCGAAAGAAACGATGAAGACGACGAACAAGTCAGCGAGGCATTGCAAGTCGTTCCTGAGAAAAAATGCAACTATACAAAGCGCCATAAGTCAAAGAAATGAATGGAACATGAATAATTGGCTTTGGTTAGGGCACATGTCAATGTTTCTTAAGATAAACAACGTGGAAAAACCTTCAAAACAAATGTAACGATTTGAACTGCATCTTCAACCGTAGGATGAAAAGTCTGGCTAGCGGGAGATCTGAGGTTGATGTTTTAAAAGATACACAAAGCGAGTATCGGAGGACTAGTAATCAGAAAACTTTTCCTCATGAAGCAACTTAGGAGTGGTTGAAAGAACACACGAATTGGGCGTTGGTTAAAAAAAGATGGTGAAGACTCCCTGCCTCCTTCTTCAAAATGAACCAAAATATCTTCATCCAACGCCTACACAACATCTTCCGATGCATAGTATCCTCCCACATTCCCCCAACAACAACATCCGTTTAATGTTGAAAACTCACTGCCTCAAAGAAAAAGAAAAGGAAAGAAAGTGGCATCGACATCGTCAACACATAATGAAATATTTGATCTCGTTAATGAAATTGATGGCATCAACACTACAACCAGAACAAAGGTGGTACAGAGACAATGGTACCTGGAAGAAAAACTACACATTTTCCAAGCTAATGAAGAACGCAAAGCTCAACTGTTGGAACGAGAGATAGTGAACCAAGATATGTAGTATTTTCTTGAACCATATGATTATTTGAATGGAGGTACTCTGTGCACTGTGCTTGAAAAGAAATAAAAATCGCAACAAAATATGGTTGGGAGTTGTAGAACCCGTGAAATTCAAAACAATTCATCTTTATCTTTTAGGGGGTCATTTTCTTTATCTTTATCTTTTTCTTTTTCAAAAGATTCTTTATATATATATATATATATATATATATTATATATATATATATATATATATATCCTTCGTAATTACTATATTTTCTCTCTATATAAACCTCTAAGATCCATTTTCTCTTTATTATTTCTCTCTATACAAAATGAATCTAAATATTCAGAAAATAATAATGGAAGGTAATAAATATAGTTCATCATCACATGATGAACTTATCAACGATAATTTCTTACCTGTATTATCTCGTACTACAAAATCTATTTCAGAATAATGCTAGTTCAAGCAACATTCAAGGGAGAAACACAATAAAAAAGATCGTCGAGAGGATGAATAACTACTAATCTGACATTACTTTTGTGGATGATTCAACCTATGCTAACGAGAAATTCCGTAGAATGTTCTATGTGAGCAAATGTCTGATTATGTAACTTATTGGTGACCTAGAGATGAATTATCCCTATTTTTGAAACAACATGGGATGCAACAAATCAGAGAAGTTTTTGTACGCTACAAAAATGTACATCAGGAATACGCCAATTTACGAAGGGTTATAACCGAGACTTGTTAGATAAGTATCTAAATATGTCAAAAAGAACTTCTCGTGAAACTCTTCAAAACTTTTTGTATGATGTTGTCCAAATGTATAAGGTTGAATATTTATGCCGTCAAACATACACTGATATTCAACTTTTGTATAAAGCACATGTAGCTAGGCATGGATTCCCGGGAATGCTTGGTAGCATTGACTGCATACATTGGAGTTAGAGGAATCGTCTAACGGAATTTAGAGGCCAATACATGAGGGGTGACCATCTGTATCCAACAATGATACTAGAAGCGGTGACATCTATTTATGGTTTTGGCATGCATTCTATGGTGTAGTCGGTTCGGACAATGATATAAACGTCATCTATCAATCACCACTGTTTGATGAGAAATATCATGGAATATGACCCGATTGTTCATTTTATCTAAATGGTGAACACTACAAGCATGGTTACTATCTTGCGGATGGAATATATCCAACATGGGATGTATTTGTGAAGGCGTATCCACATCCAACAACTAATAAAAGGAAACGGTTTAAGGCGACACAAGAATCAACAAGAAATGACGTAGAACATGCTTTTAGGGTCCTTAAAGGGCGTTGGAACATATTAAAAATGCTTGCACATGTTATGTCGGCGAAGAGAACGAGAGATATAATGTACACTTGCATTATACTACACACTATGATAGTGAAAGATGAAGGTGAGGTGATATCTCATGTGCATCAGCCCGACCCCCTCCCTCCCAACGACGAATTCGATGACCAATAATAATACATGAATTGCGCAATGCTGAAACCCACCACCAGCTTCGATCCTATCTCACTGAACACATTGAACATGCATGCATTCCAACTCTGGATAACTAGTTAATTTTAATTGTTGTTTTAGGATTTTAATTATGTTGTCTTTTTTAAGTGTGTTTTTTAATTATCGTGTATTTTTTTTAGTTAAAATGTGGTTTTTTTCATGAATTGTTATTTTTATTATTATTTTAGAATTTTTTTTTGTTTTAAATTATCAAAAGTTTATTTTTAAAGAAAAAGATATTATGTTTTATTATATTTTATATTTTCCAATTTAATTAAATAAAAAATAATGATGTGACAAGTAAGTTGAGTGTGTTAGGAAAGATAGGATTTTCATGTGTTGTGGGATCGAAAAAATGAAAGATGTGGGAGAAAAGAAAACTAATATGGAGCTGATCTGATAGTAAGTTGAATGAGTTGAGAGGGAAAACTCCCTCCACCCTTATAACATTGTAGCAACGAATATCATGATTTACTCGCAAGTTAATAGGTTTTTGGGATATATGTAGAAAAAACACAACTCATTATACTTGTATATGCAGAAAAGCCTTTATATTATTTTTATGTTAAGAAAAACTTTTATATTTTTATTCACGTTTAAAATAAAACCAAATAGCAAATTTTTAGAAAAATGACCGGCTAAAATTATAATATGACATATATAGATCTCTCATATTTATTTGATTGTATGTGAAAACATATTAAAACCTATATTTATTTCGATTACTTTTGCTAAATTATGTTCTCCATAGGAAAGTATACGATTGATTTTTCCCTCCATAACTAATCGTTTTTATCATAATTAAAATCAATATCATATTAAAAAATAAAAATATAAGCAACAATCATATTTGTAGTTGTCACTTTGTCTTCAAAAATATTTTTGTCTTTTTCGAATTATAACTATTAATATTAGGGTTTTTTAACATAAAAATAATATAATAATGGTTTTTTTTATATATACATATACATATATACTACATATATCCTTATTATGTTTTTTTTATCATGTAATTGTCCACTTAGGATGATCAGGTGTAATTTAGTGTTGACGTGGCAACCAAGTATGGTATGTCTTGTTTAAGGCGCACATACCTGAATGCGTAGATAATTCTTTTCAGCATTGAGGGATCTGAAGAGAGTGGAGACATGAATATCGACCATATCAGAGCTTGCATCCATGAAGATATCAATTATGGGAGAAGAACCATTGTCGAACACCCAATTCACCAAACCCCATCGTGAAGCTCTCCGGGCATTATATTTCTCGGAGCGTTTCGGCATCCCGGTGCCAAGCGAAAGCACAAGCATCCTCCTGCCGTCGACGGACTCCAGATCGGAGAACTTGTGTTTTCCGATCATCACTTCCTTCATGATATGCGTTATCGCTACTTGCGTCTGTCAATCGCCATTTACACAATGATTCCGATTCATCCATATTTTGACTTTTGATTCAACGAGTTTAATTTTGACTTTTTCAAATACGATTCAACTTACCGGGTTGTTTGCTGCAACTCCGCCGTCGATCAGATCGAATGTACGCGTAGCTCCTTCGGCGTCTGTGGTCTCGAAATAGTGAGGCGGGAAATACGTCGGAGCGGCGGAGGTGCTTATGCATACGTCCGATAGAAAAGCATCTTTCCAGGCGAACTCTTTTGCCTGAACAAATCAACGAAACAATTACGGATTGTTGATGAATCATGAGAAATGTAAAGAGTAAGAGATGATCGGAGATTACATCGTCGGTGGTGAAGATCGTCGGCTGAAGGCGTTTGATGTCGAAAGTTGGTATGATTATGTCTGTTATCGTTTGTTTGAGAGTTGCGTTTCCCAATATCTGTCTGGTTATTGATCGGAGATATTCGCCGTCGTATTTTGGTCCGACGACTCCCCCAAAGAAATTTGCTACAGCATTTAAGAACTTGATGCGGCTGATTTCATGATCAAAGTTGCAAGTTGATCAAATTTTTTGTCACAATAATATGGGATTGACGTTGAAAATTAATCATGCAAAAATAATGATTAGAAATGCAAATTTGTTTTAATTTAGAAATTTTTTTTAGCATAAAATTGTCTTTTTGTACATGTTACAAGATGTTGAAGCTAGCAACATGTCTTCTCGATGATATTTGATCAAACTCTATCTAATAAAAATGGATGTGGAATTGTTTGTCGACATGATGCATGAAAAACAGTGAGCTTGTTAAATATACTTTTTGTCCCTATCTGATTTTCGTCGTTAAATGAATAAAAAGTGATATTAAAATTAATAGATAAAAATTGGCTGAATTATATTAAAACCAATAAATTTTGGTTTTTTTCCAGCTTAATTATTGAAAGATTTTTTTTCTTTCTATTTTTAATCATTGAGAGTTTGTTTTTCTTTTAAAAAAAATCCATTTTGAATTATATGAAAACGTTATAGTGTGGAATATGTTCAATTTACCCACTAGAAAGAAACTTTTTGATTACTTAACCATTAACAATTTGAGGGTTTTTTTTATTTTTTTTATTTTTTTTATTTTTTTTATTTTTTTATTTTTTTTATTTTTTTATTTTTATATAAAAACATCTGTAACCAAAAAAAAGTTCCGATTGTTTTTTTGCTATTTAATATCGTAAAAATTCAAAGTAGTTTTTTTGAAAAAAAAAAACTAATCTTTAAATAGTTAAATTAGAAAAAAATTCTTTTACTGATTAAACCGAAAAAAATGCTTAATTTTTATAGAAATAACTCTACATTGGTTTATAAATAAAAACTGGCCAAACTAATTGATTAAAAGAACATAAATATGTAGTATTTTTATATTTGGCCCTTTTGAAGTTATACTTGAAGCAAAAAAAAAAAAAAAAAACTAAAAAAAAAAAAATTATAAACTTACAAACCCAACTTAATTATTCATATAAAAAGTCCCATTACTCAATTACAAAACAAAATAACATTATAATAAAACAACAAAATAAGAAAATAAATTGATATTACATTTGCACACTCCGTGAGTACTAAGCTGCAGTAGCACGCCACCAGTCTAATAATTTTAAGCAACGCGACAATTCACATTCACGTGCATCTTTACACTATTCCAACACACGTTTATTTATCAATTATCCCAACATTTTATCTTTCATAATTATATATATTAAGATTTTATATCCATGATTTTGTATTATATCCCACTAAATAATTCAAAATTGATAATTAATAAACAAACAACCATTTTTATTGAAGGGTTTAATTAATTAAACGATTTACCTTATTAGAGGAAAAATCCTTGGTGAATGATAAAAGTAGAAGTTACTAATATCATTTGCAGAGTAGAGAGGTCGATTATCATCACCAGGAACAGCAAGCATCGCCGTCATCAACCCTCCGGTACTTGTTCCGGCGATGACATCAAAGTAATCCGCAATTCGTGCCTCAGGTCCATCGATTTCCTGCCGGAGAAAATATACTTAAAAGACAGCTCGATTGTAAAATTCTTTTGTATGTTCATCAGATATAACTACTAAACATGTATACCTGAAGTTTGGATTCGAGAAATGAAAGTATGGTTGCCGGAATAATGCCACGGACGCCGCCGCCATCGATGCTAAGAACAGTGACGATGCTGGTTTTGGATATTCCGGCGGTGGCGCAGTTGACAGTGAGGAGTTGCAAGGCTACGGTTGTGATAACAAGCGAAACGATTGCGAGATTAGCCTTGGAAATGACGCTGGAGTAGGAAGTAGTGTCCATTTGTTTAATCGGAAAATTGTTCTTATCGGAAGTTAAATTAAACAGTGAGCGAAATTGAGGAAGGAGGGAAATGGTGAGTCATTGAGTTCGAGGCACTTCTGCAAATATGAAACCTAATAATTTATATATTGCATGAGATACAAACTATTTATTTTTTCTTTTAGTATATGGTATTAGTAAAATTGTGATTTATGATTATAAGACAAAATTACATAAAAGGTTCATGTGGTTTTTTAGATTTTTGGTTTTCGTTCCTAATTTTTTTTGGTTGTATGGTTGGTTTTCGGGGTTTCAATTCCAATTTGCAACATCCATAAATTGATAAAAAATTTAAACTTTTAAAACCAACTTATAAATCATTATTGTTTACAAAATAGTTTTCAAAACATGTTCAATATCAGAGTTTTCCCAAAATTATAAAACATATCACGAGGAGGTGCACGATCAGGACTTCGCCTTCTCGCGATTCTATGAGGTACGTGAAACATAACCAAAAACTGTAAGCTCAAAACTTAGTGAGTTTCCCCCAAAATACCAACACATCACAATATCATAATAATAATAGCAAACAACATGCATACAGAGCCTTTAGTCTGAATGGAACGCCCTGTCGGCCTGCAGTCTACCTGGTACGCTCACAGAACCTTCAGCATGACTGATACGCCACACCGGGCCTTCAGCATATCTGGAAAGTTCTCCGGGCCTTCGACCTGACTGGTTCTCCCCACTGGCCTTCAGTCTATCCGGGACGCCCTGGGTCTGTTGGCCTTTAGCACAAAGCATGACTGCCTGTAACATCCATAAAATCATAAGATAAAATTTTCATTTTTAATATATATTCAAACATTTATAGGTATTTCAAAGTAAAACAATTATCACAGTAAAATCCCAAAATCACGAATTGCAGATAAACACGGGTATATAAGCTACGATCAAGCCAGACCCTTCCCTTTCGCACCGGAAATACCTGAAACCATAAACAACAAACTATAAGCACAAAGCTTAGTGAGTTCCCCAAATACCACATACCATACATATCATACGAGCCATACATATCATACATATTCAACAATCAATAGAAAGTGCTATGTGCCAACCATAGTCTTGCCATTATGCCACGAGTCGTATCATGTTCTTCCTTGCCAGGCCGAGGGCCAAAACCCTGGGTCTTACAGACAAGTGCCAGGAGCCACCTCCTGTTCTTCCATGCAAGCATCACAAAGACAACTAGCAAACAATCTACAACTACTTAACTAATTAACTGCCAGAGTTCAGACTCTGGTCTTGCATATAGGTTGCCAGGAGCCGCCTCTTGGTCTTTCATACAAAATATCATGGGTCACCCCTTGGTCTTCCTATAATACATAAACCAAATGGGTCGGCATTGGTGCCTTCGACCCATAGAACTGTGAGGAGACTCACCTCGAATGTTAAAGCTCACTGAAAGAAATCCCTAGCTGCTGCCCTAATGACTCCCCGAGCTATCAAAACAAAATAACACCCAATTATCACTTGGGTTTCAATCTGTGGCCCATAATCCATACTTGGGGTAAGATGACCATTTTACCCCTGGCCTAGCTTGAACCAAAACTAAGGCCCAATTCCATAAACCAAAAAGGCCCAAAACCAATAGATCCACAAAGGCCCACTTATGTCCTAATTTTCGAAATTGGGCCCAATCCCCATATGGGCCTTATCTTAAAGTCCAATAATTTCCTTAGTCGAAAAAGTTGATTACAGATGGCCCAAAGGCCCAAGAAACAAAGTCCAAAGAAGTGGCCATAATATGTGAAGCCCAAAAACACAACAAGTCCAAAGTCCAACAAAACTTGTACGCTGAGCGTACGCTCAGTACGTTGGACGTACTCAACGAATCCAAATCACGACCAAAACTTGGTACGTTGGACGTACGCTCAGTTACGCGGGGGCGTAAACTAACTTATTCCAAAACCTTTGTTATGGCTTAACCAATTAAGCACTTTGCACCCAAACTTCAGAGAACCTTAACAATAAGCTCTTAATGCATAAAGTTGGCACATTTATGCATTTGCATGTCTTAATGGGACCCAAAAACCATCTTAATCCATTAAGACCCATATTAATCCAACTAGAATATGCATGGACCAAAATCAAGGATCAAGATACCATTTTTACGAACTTATAAACTCAGAAAAGGCAAGATCTAACAATCTTAGCTCCTGGAGTGGATCAAACTCACAAGGAGAACTCAAAACCCTAAAATAAGCACACTTCTAGTCCTAAACCCATAAAGCATAACAAGAATTTAAGGTATGAACTTTATACCTTAAATGAGCTGGAAATGAAGCTAAGAGTCTGGATCTATAACTCTTCTTTTGAACCACAAGCTAGCACCAAACACCTTTTCCTTGAAAATGAGCAAAAGCACACCAAAATGTTCACTTAGATCTCACAAACACTCAATGATAAATTAGGTTTTCCAAAATGAGGCTAGAGGTAAGTGGAGGTTGAGAAATGAGAGAGCCTTGAGCTTATAAGGATGTTTAAATAGTGCCCAAACCCTAAAAATTATGGTTTGTCACTCTGCCAATTATATTGGGCGTACACACCCAGAAACGTGCCTTTCCGCCCTTGCATGCATGGGACCGACTTGCAAATCTTTTCCATTAAGGGCCATCTCTGCCAATTATTTAAACAACTATAACTCCCTCGTCTTAGGCCCGTTTCCTATGAAGTTTATATCCACGTAAAGGTGACGAGAAGCCCTACACTTCTGTCAACTCACCTTCATCTTAAAACTTCCCGAACAAAATCCCAAATTCAAAAAGTCCACAGCCAATTTACCAAAATACCCCTTGGTTCAAAACCCAACCCAAATGCCCGAATCGTCTACATGACATCTCCCAAGCCCAAAAGGGTAACGATTCGGAAAAGGGCGTTAAAACTCTTCCCCATTTAAATTAGATTTTGTCCTCAAAATCAATATTTACTTTTCCTAACACTCCAAACAACCTGAGCAACACGACCCCGATTCCGAGAACACCACAGCCTTCCCAAGGCAACCGAAACCAACCCTAGAAGAACTCACCAAACTGAAGAAGAAGAAGAATGAATCCATAAACCCATGCAGAAAATCACTTCCACCTTTCCGAAACCTGAAATCTCAAGTTGGTCTGACTTCCCGACAAACCACTCACACTTTCCAAAAGCAGCCGAGATCTCCATGGTCCTAACTTGTCTACCAACTACCTGAAACACAAACTCCTACCCGATTGTAGAGTCAAAAGGCACCTATACACCGTCGCCCCATGCGACTCCCGAAAAGAACCTTATCTGGTGATTATTGCCAAAGCCATCACGCCGCTAATTCCAATGCCAAAATGAATGCTACATGACCAACTGTAGTCTCATATCATATCAGGTCTCCAACGACCTACCATTCCTGATTCCAAATATGTTGTGGCCCTCCCACAGCCTTGCGAACTGACCCACCCTGGTCTAAACCATCTGAAGAAATCTGTGAGCAAATCATAGATTTGCCACACTCTCACCGTTACACAGGGACCGGTGAATGTTATGGGTCACCCCGCAGTCTTACAACACTCCCACACTAACTGCCAATTAGTGAATGCTATGGGCTACCCTGCAGTGTTACAACACTTCCACACTAACTACCAATTATTGAATGTTACGGGCCACTCCACAGTCTTACAATACTTCCACTTTGCCAAAACCACCGCCCATGGTCTTACCGCTCATCTATCAATCCAAAAACACCCAGAGACGAACACGCATTCAACCAAGCACCCAAACTAAACTCAAGACATGATGGGAACCCCAACCTGGGTCCACCAAAAGCCTTCTATCCGTCACCAAGAAGGCGCTAACCAACTGTTGGGAAGTTTCCCAAACTCCGAACTCACACAATCCTCAATCCAGACGGCCACTTGGGCTACCCTCCTCCCTCGCGGGAATGCGACACTTATCCTAGTTTCATGCCTGCTTCTGTTTCTAAATATCTGAACGGGTCTCCCCCACTTTGATTCGACTCAGCTCCCACAACATACAAGATTCGACGGATTTCCAATCCATCTTACCCCCCAATGATTGAACTACTGACAGCAGGCGCTTACCAATGCTAGTGAACCATCACCAGCCAAACCCAAAATGCCGCACAACCCTTGAAGACCAGATGAACACTTCCCGAAATCCCAGCAAAACTGATAACCCCAGAAGCTTTTAATGATACAACACTTAAATCTTGAAGCCCAATGACCATATGCCCAGACCAAAACCTCAGGAATAGACCACTTCCCTTGGCATCCCTAAGAGCCAACAAAGCACAATTGCAAAAACCACTGAATCCTGACGATACTGGAGAATTAACCCGCTGAATCCTGACTATAGACCTTCCATACGATGCCCTTGAACCGATCTCGACCAAAAACTAGAATAACAACCGAACACTTTGGAATCCGCTACACGAGATACAACCCCTTACTAACCCACTAACGATTCATGGCATGCAAATGGCATTTAACAATTCTTGAAGATATAACTCAAACATAAATAGAGAACTAAAATAAAGATAATACTTACCCAAACCGATACAAAAATCTCATACACATAAATATTGATCATAACCAAAAGAAAGCTATAGCTATAAGGAGCGAAGCTCACACACACCGGCTGATGTAGGGTGGGATAAAGTTGCCAATGCGAGTCACGCGCAGAGTTGGACACTTTTTTTGAAGCGTGATGCTGATAAGTCCACTCGATAAGATACAACTTCCGGGGCCTTATGGGGGAGGGCCGACCTTGGTTTTAGCTACTGATGACGGGGCTGCATCGGGGACCGGAACAGGGGCACGAAGCTGCTCCGTGATATTCCAGATGAGTTGAAAGAGGAAAAAGATAACATACCTGCAATATCACCCACTCGAGTCCTGACCCCCCTGTCTGACACTGCAATGCCCGACTCCTCTCTGTTGGGGCTCCGGTCCTACCCCCACGACCATCAG